AACCATAATCAAATTAAATGTTATTTGGTATAGCCTGCCTGTGAGGGGGTTGKGGTAGGAGGTAAAAACAAGGCCTACCAAAACGGTTCACCAAATCGTRTAACTTGTTAATTTAATGTTGTATTTTTGTCAACTTCCAGATTGTTTTTAGTTCAAGCTTTATTATATTATTGACTCGTTTATGCCGTTACTGTTTACTATACACACAAAATCTGCTACCGGAAAACCAAAGAGGCCGGCCACTCTCCCGAAAACGATTATGGTACAGAAACCAGCCAATGACGAACCCGCTTTCAACTTTGCGCGGCATGAGATTTCTACAAAGAAAAGGTCACTAATAAGACCACAAAACATGGCATTTTTAAGACTATTCGATCAGAATTTTGTCGTGAAACTCTTGGAGCTCAAAGTAAATAAACATAAGTTGAACATATTGAAAAATTACGACCAGATAGAAAGGAAAGGAAAACATCGACTAAAACAAGGCCTTTGAATCACGAAGTATAGCGCGCTATTAGCTCGAAGATCTCTTCCATTAGGAACTTATATGTTTCTAAAAATTCAATGGCAGATATTCACATGTATGGAACGATGAAAGAATAATCTTCACTGAATTCAAAGTGGGCRCCCCACCCTAACCCACCAAGAGTTTCTGCATGAGATATCAGCATTTCAAAATGGTACAAAATCGTCATTCTATGGTTGAGGTCAACAGACCATCATAGCTATCGTGCAATTTCAATTAACATCTTTTTTCCCGAAATTAAGCAGTATTAAGAGCTAATAAAAAGAAAAAAGATKTAAAATGTATTTTGAATTGTTTTGCATGAGAAAAAATCAAATTTTACCAGGACTTAATTATAGTGCAACTTTGCTCCCAGCATGAAATGGTCAAAACAAAACAGTGTATCTGTTTTGTATTTGACTGCATGTCACTTTTCGTAAGCGCTTTTAAAGAACTACCAGAGCATAACTGATGAAACTGCAATTTGAGTTCACCTATTAAAGCCTGTTTTGCTTTGACAAAAATCAAAATCCGAATCTATATTTAAAAAATATAAAACGGCCGCGCATGTCTCTGTCCTCTGATATAAACACGGTGGGAGTTCGAAAAACACGAGAACACGTGTTTCTAAGCTTGCTTCTCGTGTTTTTCGAACTCCCACCGTGTTTATATCAGAGGACAGAGACACAAGGAGCCGTTTTATATTTCTTTTTCAAACTTTTTCGAGCGAAAAGCAAATTTTGCCGGTAAGCCGTGTCTCTGTCCTCTGATATAAACACGGTCGTSAGCCAATCAGAGCGCGCGTTATATATCAAAAATTTTATAAAGMCTAATCAAACAGCGTTACACAGGATTCGTAGTCGTTCAAGACTAMTGGCAGTTTTTTCCATCTTTTTAATCTAGCGAGCTCTTAGCAACTTTGAGTTTTTTGTAAAYCAGCTTCCTGTGTTATTTTGGTTTCAAGTGTTATTTTGTTTTGACAGCGAATTGAAAGCGTCATTCACAGCGTCATTTGGTTAGGAAACGAAGGAATTTAGCATTTTTAGCACCGATTTTGTGATGTGATGTGATGTGATGTGATGTGATGTTGAAGGATTTGAAAAAATAGCAAACGATAATGAAAGCAGACTTAAAAAATTTAAGCTTTAAAGCGTAGAGCCATTTGACATGCACAACGGTCTCTAAGTATCTAGATACCAGGCACTCAGGAACGAGTTTCAAAATACAGTAGCTACACGGCCGAGAGGAGACTAGCTACACGACAATTTGARCCMTTATAATWACTTTTAAGGTTTAACACACTTCTGTCTCTTTGATTTCACGTAAGTCATGAAAAAATAAATTTTCCGCGGAAAACTTCGAATGTAGTTGCTTGAAAAAAACAAAAAACTTGTATTCAAGAAGCTGATGTCTTTAAAATGTCGCCAATCAGTAATAYAAATATGTTCTTTTCGATAGTTAGCAAATTTTGTTCAAATTTCACAGAATTATATACCAATACAAAAACACCAAAACAATACTAAACATTGGTTTAACTTTAACTTCTAAATCTTATTGTATGACAAGCAGGACGCATGGTATATGTTATATGTAATATACATTTCCGAGTTTCCAATTGTAGTCTAATTGTATTTAATGTAACGTTTAGATTATGTTCTTGTCCTAAGTTATTGGTTACATAACATAATTTTTTACGATGTAAGCGCTACTTCAACCTAAAAGTTATTTATTTTCCTACAACCATTTATTTGATCTAACATAATTTGTGTTCAGTTTACACCTGAATGCCTAGGCCCGGATCACACTATATGAAACAATTCTGGAACAAGTGCGACCAATTTGTTTCGAACCCTTTACAACGAAACTTCAAAGCCGCCGATGGACTGCCTTTTAGCCCTACATTTGCAGTTCAACAAACAAAATGGCGTTAAAAACGCCAATCATTGTTTCCGCAATCGGCAATCCCAACTACCGTTAGGCGTTCTTTGTGAACAAATCAACTCTCCATGTTGTCAACCACAAAGAACAAATTATTACTACAAACTACAACTGGGACGACCCAGCGGACCAGACTGATGAATGCCAGCCTGGTACACTTTTCTGGCGACGTTTCCAGCAAGGGACCGGTTTATCCAACGTTTATGCCGCCAATCTCAATACAGCCTCCTACAAACTACCAGAACTGTGCTTTGCTAAGTTTATGAGACACTTCCATGGCGCAARCTAAATCCTTCTATCTAGTAGGCCAGCAGTTCATTTGCAYAACTTTACAGTTGTTATCTGTCATCACTGCATAGTGTAAATACAATTTATAGCATACTGCGACCACAAATAAAGAGTTGGAATTGTTACTGCAATGATTCACTCATGTTTGAAACCGGGCCGGGCCGTAGTCGTGTTCGAAAAGGTCACGTCATAGAACCTAAGACCGAAAGGGATTTTGAGTACATTTGTACCACTAAATTGGGATTAGATTAACATATTCGGTGTACAAGTGTAAATCAAGTAGAGCTAGTAAGATTAACAGCATGATAGTCTTTTGTGCTGGAGAGCTGTTTGTTATGAAATTAGCCAAATTGTTTGTCTTCMMAAGTAMCCTTTCGGTCTTAGCTTCTATGATTTGACCTTTTTGGACCCGACAACGATTCTTAAATTATWAGGTGTATGTACAATATGATGCCGTTAATAACACAGACCATACCAAAACTTGCTTGAAGTAAAAAACTTGCTTCATTGCCGGGAAATGTACGGGCCCGCCCTATCATTACCGTATTTGCYAAAAGTCCACAATTTGCAACAGTAATGTCGAGAATTTGCCTAGATATTCACTTATTAACCACGTTGGCTTACATCAAACGATCGAAATGACAAAATTGCCCGAGATAATGCATAATTCCATTTCATTTAAACACGTGACAAGTAGAAGACCTCTAAAGGCGGTTAAAGTTGAGTATCAAAGTTTCTTGTTTTTCATGCATCGTCAACTTGTTATGCAACAAAAATACATCGTGAAAAACGAGAAACACCGATGCTCAACTTGAACGGAAACAATGTTTCGCGCCAAGTTGAGGGTTTTTGTTTCTCGTATTTAGCCGCCATGCATAAAGCTCAGTCATTCCTGGGAAGACAATTAATTATCTTAAAAAGCACAACTTAAACAATTCTATATTCAGTAAAAGTATTTCGATGACGACTTTGAAGACATGAACTGAGGAATAGGCCTAAGTATTATATGGCCAGGGTCGCACTTTGAAACAATTCTGGAACAATTCTGTTTAGTTCATAGCACAAACTGTCAAAATTCTGTCACCACTGTACCAACACAAGTGCGACCGATTTGTTTCGAACCATTCAAAAATTGTGTTTCGCAACAAAACTTCAAAGCTGCCTTTTAGCCCTCCCAACGTTTGCAGTTCAACAAACAAAATGGCGTTTTATAAAGATTTAGATACCTGTTGTCGAGTGTAATAATCCCAGACAATTTCAACAACGTTACTGTCAGATCCAAAATGAAATTATCCAATCTGGAAATTAGAATGTACAAAGTATGTTTTTTATTCGATAATTACCTTAATAAAGTTTTGAGAATTTCTYAAATGTTTTTCACTTACCTTAACTTATAGTATGGACAGTATGATCTGAAGTCTCTGACGGTGTTGCTGAACACAGCTAGCTTTTGGCGTGGATGAGCATGAAGTTTTGACATATAGTCGTCAAACGTGATTGACTTTTACCGATGTCCCCCCGAAGGGGGGGGGGTATTAGAAGGGATATTATTGCAAACACGTGCCGTTTTTAATAAAGCTTTGACTCTGTAAGGTCAAACAATCTGATCTGGCTGTTCCAATGTAATAGCTGGAGTAAAAACAACGAAAACTGTCAATCATTGAAGTACAGTTGAAACTCTAGCAAATGAGTCTTCGTAGTGCAGTTTTTCCTTGAATTAGGCAAGGTAAAAGTGCATTGTTTTGTTGTTCAAAACTTGTCTGTTCTTATTCAGGACTGCATATTGACAAGCGTTGACAAGTTGTCTTTTAAGCAAAGGTTCAATGAATCGGTTTTGCCACACCCAAGCACTACGGCGTCTTTGAGGAATCGTCTTTGAGGCTTTCGCGAGTTTACCCAAGAATTTAAGTCTCACAAAGGCCGGTTGTTGAAAGATATATTCACGGGAATTTTTTATGTTCAGGGCCAAAAACAGCATATGGCACTTGGGATGATTGCGGTATTTCATTTAAATTTTGACCATATACAGCTTAAAAAATCGCGTATGATCATTCCTTGAAGTAACTACTAACTCTTTATAAATGAAATGCCAAATTGTGTAAAAGAGTAAAGGAAACTCTTAGATCGTGGTCACCCATGGCCATTAATATGATTAAAGTTATTTGATTAGCCTCCCCCTTTCTAAACGCTGACAATCGCAAGCTTTAAACTCACCGACCGTCATAATAACTGGGTAGCCGTAGCTCTTTGTTCATATTTTCGCGTACAGAATCTAAAAGAATGCCTAAAAGAGGAAGAGAGCGGTGGAAGGATCCAGCTTATACGTGCAGAGACTGTGAGAAGGTAGAAATTTAAAGTTTAATGTTTAAAAGAAATTTTACTCGTTAGGCTTGAAAGCCCGCGAATTCATGTTTACACTGGAAAACCGTCTGCACGTTCTAGTTTTATTATACGAATAACAGGCTTTTTCCCTTGATGGTTTCTTTAGTACTACGAGTCCTTTCCAAAAGAGGAGAGGGAAAAACGWATCCAAAATTCCTGTCGACATAGGAGCGAAGCACCTCCGCCTCCAAAAACACCACCTCACTTGTGGGAGGTAGACTTTCCAACCACGCCAGAGTACATGGCCGCTGGTTGGTTGAGAGATGGCGATGGTAAGCAAATGATAATATCTTCAMTGAATATTGGACTTGAGCAAATAATACATTCCATGGCAATTAGTCWATGAATTTCCAGTTTGGCTCCAGTTTCTTTACACTTGGTACCAGAGGAATTTTTTACTAAAGTGCAAGCCAAAAGTGACATAGGCAATCAAAAGCGCAATATGTGATATTTTGTTTCTTGTTTTTAATGTAATAAAAACATTATACTTGTGTATAAAAATTTTGTAAAGTATCAAATTGACGGGTTGTGATTGCATCATACAAATTTGTCACAATTTAATGTCTGTCAATTCCCTTGTAGCAACTGGGCATGAAAGCCAAAGACCAAAGACAGAGTATGGTCGAAGAAAGTACCGCAGGTACTTTGCCAAGAAGAAGCTAGACACTGAGCTGGAAGCAAAGCAAGATACAGTCCAAACAGAAGATGAAAAACAGAAAACCGACAAGAATTGATTTACTTTTTTATTTCTTTTTTGTATGGTTGAAGTATTTTTTTAATTAAAGCTGTCATATAAAGATCACAAGCGAAGTGTAAATATTTTTGGGACCTTTTGTAAGAAAAAAATAGTAGCTGTTTCATCTTCAAAATTTCTTGATTTCCGTCAAGAAAGTATTTAAGAGCGGAAAACGTTTGAATAGTTTTAATCCTTTAATTATTTTTAAAAGGAAGATTAATCCTATAATGAAAAGGAAGATTAATCCTATAATGAACTGATACTGTAATTGTATCATAAAACGATTGATTATTTCTGTGTTGACGAGAGGATACCTATTTTCCGAGTCAGGATTCGAGTTAGGATTCGAGTTAGGATTCGAGTTTTAGGATTGGAGTTTTAGGATTGGAGTTTTAGGATTCGAGTTTTAGGATTCGAGTTTTAGGATTCGAGTTTTAGGATTTGTGGAATGCAGTCTCCAGGATCAAGTTTCATTATGAGACTCATTCCCAGTACCCACGCTGTCTTCTTTCTGCTTGTTGCCAAAATGGCGGAACGAAGACACGAGGTTAGTAATGACTTATTCATATCCTTGTGATTTGCAATGCCAATTTTATCCATCCTGCTAAAACTACAATCTTGGTCTTATCTTTTATGACCGATCGCAACATCTGTATTATTATTTAGGATTATTTTGTTTTTAATCTAATCTTTTTGTGTTTATTCTTGCATTTGTGGCTTGACATGTGATTTTCACTGAAATCGAAAACAAACTCGCTAATTCATGAAACTATGCATATTTCAGAAGGATTCCATGCATCGAAATATCAGGTAACGCTTATGCTTGCATTATATGCTTTGCTTAATTGACGAATACTGTATTTGTATTGACTCATTTGTATTTTATATGCCCGTTTCATACGTCGAGACAGCGTCGCGCCGAAGCAAACTGAATATTAGTCAATTTGTGTCGACCCAATAACTTACATTTTATGGCGTCTATTCTTACTTTGAACCAAATGCAGTCAAAAACATTACAAAAGTTCCGATAACACGCAATATAATACGCAATATAATACGCAGATATCTTTGTGAATTAAGTTCGGCACGCACCACGATAAATCGCGTCCTGTCGAGCATTCATGTGCTAAAAAATTCAAACTTTTTGGTTCGGCGTGACGAGAGCACGACGTATGAATCGGGCCTAAGGCCCAGTTCATACGTCGAGCCAGCGTCGCGCCGAACCAAATAGTCAATTTGTGTCGACCCAAATCCATTTGGTACGTCGTTGATTCATACGTCGAACCAAATGAAGTCAAAACCATAAGAAAAGGTGCGATAACACGCAATTTACGCAATTATTATTGTCGAAAACAGATATTTTTGTGAATTAAGTTCGGCACGACGATAGCTCGACGTTTGAATCAGCATCGAGCTTTTGCCGTGCAGCACGACTGACTCTGCCGTGCCAATGCCGTGCTATGGTCGCGCCGAACTCAATTGATTCATTCGTCGAGCTGTTCATGTGCTAAATTCAAACTATTTGGTTCGGCGCGACGCTGGCTCGACGTATGAACCGGGCCTAAGTCACTTTTCTCTTCTTCAGATTCTCCTGTTAAAAAAGAAAAGAAAGACCAAGCTGACCAAGTCATTACCAGGTTTTTTTTAACGCTCATATTACTGCATTCTTCAGAACACAATCATATTAGGATCAGAATCAAACATGTATCTTCAGCTTCCTAGAGTTTGGCCTTATACTTTTTTTCACTTTTTATAGCCAGTCTTCTAAAGAAAAAATCGTAATTATACCAGGTAATGCGTGTACAACGGCGTTGGCATGCTTTAATTGTGTGATTTAAAACTCATTGTTTTTTTTTAAAAAAAGATTCTCCAGCCAAAAAGAAATACAGAAGGTAAGATTTGTTTGTATACTTGTTGTTGTGTTGTTTATAGTTTTAAACTATGGAACAGCAGAGATTGCTGATGTGTTGATGTTGTGTTGTATTATGATTATTTTAGAAATAAGACTTGGGATAGCCCTGAATTAATGAAATACTAACATTTTTTTCATTTGATATCAGTATTTGTAAATTCATATCTATATATTATTATTTATTATTAATTACAGCCTTTTGCAAAAATTATGAGAATTGTTGAAATATCTAAATATCATAATATCAAGTGCATGATCCCGCGCGATGCCCTTAGTTCCTTGTCTTTGTTGTTTAGTTTTTTTTGGCGACGTACTTATCCGTAGTTCTGAACATTTTCTCGATGTCAACAATGAATTATTCTAGCAAACCCGCGTGTTCCGGACAATATATGGATATGGATATTATGATATTTAGATATTTAGACAATTCTCATAATTTTTGCAAAAGGCTGTACCTATATGTATAGTGATATTTTCAACTGAACCCAGAACCCAGGCTGTGATTCAAGAATGTGCATGTCAGTTGTATGTAATATTATAAAATTTTTGAAAAAATGTTTTTTGCATTCTCAGTACCCCAGTGTCTGATGTTAGCACTGCAAAAGGTTAGTTGATGAAATGAAAGTATTGGAGTTGGATTTGAGGGCATTGTGCTTTTTATCAAAGTTCCACCATCTTTTAGAAAGGCCATTCAATCAACCTTCACTTGAATGTTTGACAATTTACCTTCAATAACAGCAACCCCCAGTATACAGTTCTTGTATTTAATGTGTGAAAAACGTCTTATCTTTTTTATCGGTGATGTATTTATTGATTATTTTAACTTTCATACATTATAGAACAGACACTTGTTGACCTTACAGTATCAGACCCTGAAGGTAATTTTTCAGATTGTTTCAATGATATATAAATAAGTATTTACCTAATAATCAGCTGTCTGTCATATTTTAGACAAGTACAGTGCTATTGAATCCACCTCAGAATATGAAGGTAACATGAAGATACATTTTGAATTTAAAATGTGTGTATAGAGATAAAAACCTTCTGCAACAATTATGCCTAATAAAGTACATGCCCTCTTTGCAAAAGGTCTGTACACATCAGAAGATGAAGAAGAAAACGACAAAAAAAGTAGACCAGAATCTGACTCGGGAGAAGGTACATTTTATTTTATTTTGAAAATTTTTAAAAAAAATGTTACTAATAAGCTTGAAAATAAACTAATTGTAGTATTATGTATATATAATATATATTTGTAATATAAGTTAGGAGCTCAGAAAAAACTCTGAGCTTAGTATTGTTGTCTTCAATGTGCTATTAAAGGCTCAGTTTTTGACAGGTATAGACTATATATTCTCATTCAGTGTATAATGCGTATAGAGATAAATACCTTTTGCAACATTTATAAGCCTAAGAAAAAGTACATGCCCTATTTGAAAAAGGTCTGTGCAAGTCAGAAGAAGAAAAAGACCACAAATGTAAAACAGAAACTGACTCAGAAGAAGGTATGTGTACATTGAAATATATATCTGGGTGTTTTTTTTTATGGTAAAATAGTGCAATGGCAACTGCATTTATTAACAAATATTGAAAACATTTAAATGTTTCCATGATTATAAGATTAATAAAAGATATCAATTCAAAATCGTTCAGCAATTTATATAAACACCAGAGAAGGTTTCAGTGCCATAAGAGGTATTTAATGAAAACATTCAATTTTAGAGTTACTGTACTGTATTTGACAATGAGAGAGCTGAGAATCTGAGTATTCCATAGAAGATTTGGACTTAATCACAAACTCGCATGCATTTGMAAGAATAATGACCAGGCGCCAGTAAAAGTTTGAAAGTCGAAAAAATAGCACAGAATTTATAAAGCTTTAGAGCAGCACCCAAAAAAAAGACTTACAATTTTATCACTATGATTTTAGTAAATTTCAAACAAATTGCTCACGGTGAGTAGTCATGTGGTCAAAACTTGAAAATAAACTTATATTAGTTTAAGGTCTAATATATAAAATATGAGCAGGAGACCTCTATGGTCTCGGACATGAATATTTTATATTGCTACGGCAATGATTTTCCATTTGTTTACTTTATGAATTATTAATACATTTGATAACATAGTTTAAAACAAGAGAGAGAGAGAGAGAGCTGAGTGGTTTATCAGTCATTTAAAGATTCGAGCGAGAATCTTTGTACTGGATAAAACACAATCTTGAGTGTTTTAAATGGCTTTAAAAGTTACTCCATACTAATTGAAACTCAAATCCATTAAAATTCTTGGAGAAATTGCTGTAAATATAAGTTAAATAGGGCAAACTTTTCATGCGCGAATCACTTTACTAGCACTCTTGTGAAAAAATAGAACCGCTGTTGGCTGTTTTACTCCAATCAGTTGACATCCTACATTGGTCAATGATCAGGTGTTAAAAGTCACACTTATTAGACATAATATACTAATAAGGAGTGTTTTATCAGAATATAAATGTCCAGGGCTCATTCTATTGGCCTAATAAGTTATTAATTATGTATGAGTTTTTTAATTGTCTTTGATGTGCTCAAGTTCAGGTTTAGAGATTTTAAAAATAAACATGTTTTTTTTTTAAGAAATGAAGAAGATACCGATTTCAACAAGTAAGTTTAAGTTCTATTTGTTTTATTGTGTAAAAGATTAATGTTATTTGTTCAAACACTGTACCGGTTACTCAACCAATAGTCCACAATGTGACATTGTTTCTTTTTTATCAAGATATTATTTCATTTCAATCTCAAATTAAAACCAACAACCAGAAAGTTATATGTTGTTATCTATTGTGCAATTTGGAGACGAGCACTATATATTAAATAAAGTATGCTCATTGATTATTATTTGAATCCTGATTTTGAGTAATTGTATACCATTTTATTCAGACTTAGGAAGAAGTTAGATCCCTCCCTTTGGTCATCATGTAAAGTTAATGAAGTAGAACACATCCCATATGATGTTGATTGGTCTTCATGTATTTCAATTGAAATACGATAAAAGGAATATGATGAAAAGCAGTAGAGATGGCCGCCCATGGAACCAGTGGGTTACGTCCACCAGAATAGGTTTTCATGKGACTCGCAGAATTGCCAACTGTGGTGGAACATTTATTTGTCTAAATGCCAAATGCCCATTCACCCATTCATATGGTAAAACAAACAAAGTCCAATTCAGGCAAAAAAGTGGAAAATGTGTTGAATGTGAATTTTGTGGCTACAAAGCTGAGCCTGTGAAATGTAGTGCAAGAAAAGTATGGGAATTTGAAGCTGATAATGTTAAAGTTTATCATTTTGGTAACCATGCATGTGAAGCTAAAATAGTAGAAGAGGATTTGAGTCAGGATGCCACTGCCTTTTTCAAAGACAACATTAATGCAAAGCCATCTCAGTATCCATATGAAAGATTGAGAGCCATGCTGAAAGAGGGTAAGCCAGTTTCAGATATATACAAGAGTGCCGCCAGTATGGCTAATTTAAAGAAAATTCAAAACATCAAACAAAAAGTTGTTGCAACAGTTAATCCAGTGGGACACTCTTTCGAAGCAATAGCGAAAATCAAAGAAGTAAGCGATAAGCTAGACAAATACCTCATGTGGAAAGTTCAAGATGGGAGACTTTGTGAAAATAAAATGACATTAGTGTTCAGATCCAGCAAAGAAAGGATAGAAACAGCTGTCCAAATGCAGAATGGGGGAGATCATCCATTGGCTGAAGAATATTGCTACCTTGATGCCGAACATGATAAAGTTGCTGGCATGAAGACAATAAATCTCAGCGTGCAACATCCAACCCTCAAGGAAATGGTAACAATAGCGAGTATGGATTGCGAACGAGAGTGCACAGAAACTCTCTGTGAATTTTGGCATCTGCTGAATCAGGTATATTTAAGTACACTGTTCTTTAGTATTTTGTCCAAATTTCAATGTGACCTCAGTCACCTATTATATTTACCCGAGCTACTGTTGCTAAAATATTACAAAGGATTTTAACGTTTGGACCAGATATCTAAACCAACTTTTCAAATGAATTTCTACTTACAGATAAAAATGATATCACTTTTAAGTCATGCATTTGGTTGGAGTTACATTAGTTCTATTCTATTTATTTATTTATTTGTTCATTTACAGCCTTTTGCAAAAATTATGAGAATTGTCTAAATATCTAAATATCATAATATCCATATCCATATATTGTCCGGAACACGCGGGTTTGCTAGAATAATTCATTGTTGACATCGAGAAAATGTTCAGAACTACGTCTGAACTAAGTCTGTCGCCAAAAAAAACCTAAGCTACAAAGACAAGGGACTAAGGGCATCGCGCGGAATTACCAATCATGCACTCGATATTATGATATTTAGATATTTCGACAATTCTCATAATTTTTGCAAAAGGCTGTACTTTATTTAAAATCCATATTTAACTGTTCTCCATTCCTCATCAGCGAAATTAACTCATTTTTGGGTTAATTATTTATAATATAAATAACATGGATTTTTTTTATGAGAAAGGAAAAACAAGTACAAGGAACATTAATTAATTATTTATGTCTACAAGAATTAAATGGGTTAAATCAACCAAATTTAATTAATATTAAAATAAAGGTTTGCAACAAGAGTAACATGTTGTGTAAAGATTTCTGCTTTGTTTCAACAGGCTTTACAAGATTTTACTGGGGACAAGAAGTACATCTTCGACCCGTATGGTATCGTTACAGATGAACATGGTGCCAATAGAGCTAGCATTGAAAGGGTTTTGCATCAAGGCCTGTTGGACCGTGCTAAGTCATGTGAAACACACTTTTATGACTGTGCACATAAAGTTCCAAAGAGTGACTGGAGCCCGAAAGCAAAGGCTGAATTTATCACTATGATCCATGACATATATTGCTGTACAACACCAAGTTCTTATGAAGTTAAGCGAAAAATGCTGATGGACTGGGCCTCAAAAGACAGGAGGAAGCATGTCAAAGCATGGTTTAATAAGTTTTGGCACCTGAGAAGGTAAGGCAGTTTTTGTTTTCTTTCTTTGTTTTAGTGAAAAAGGGTTGGAAAACCATCTAATTATCCAATAGCTCCCCTCTCCCTATCGTTAAACCCCTACTGATAGGATTATCTTATTTGCCTTACAGATATCATGTGTTTCGAGCATTCAAGACATCGTCACACTAATATGGCTGAAGTTGGACACTCTCGAAATGCAGTCCGTGGAGCTAAGAAAGACACCCTGGCTCGAGTTGCGGAAGATCACATTGTAGAAAGTGCTCTTCTTAAATCAAAATTTGACAGGTATATGAAATTAAAAGTGTTATTAACATTTAAATCATGAATTAAGAAACTACTTATGTATGTTTTGAACTTTGTATTCAAACCAAACCTTGAAATTTGCTATTGGGATCTGGTTTGCAAGAAACGGAACAAAATATGTTTAACAGTCATGTTTTAACCACTCATTTTATTTCTTTAGCAATGAAGGTGGAACTTACCGAGGAGGGAGGTGTAAAAGTCAGAAGGAAAAGGACGTGATATCTCTGAGAAGACAACTAGACCGCGCCACTCAATTTGCCAAGGAATTGTCCAGCAATGACATAGATGTAAATGCCTATAGCACTGGACCATATGTAAACAAGAAATCCAGCCATCGTGTAAAAAAGAAGTCTGTAAACATGAAAACCAATCCACAAGACATGAGCAGTTCCGGTGAGTCTTCTTCCAGTGAAGAAAATGGCAGCAGAAATTGCAGAAAGCCATATCGCAAGAGAAATGCTAGAAGCAAACAGTTTACAGAGTCACTGAGAATGGCAAAGACTGCAAGAATATCCATGGTGCAAATCCATGATGTCAGTGAGTATAACAAAGTATTTGAAATCGATCATGATGGCAAGCTGAGATTGGTGGAAATTGGTGAGACTGTAGGCTGCAATTGCAGCTTTGCAGCAAAACGGGATTTATGTCTCCATGCCATATGGGTTATGATGAATGTTCTTGGTGTGAAAGAAAGTGATGAAGTATTGCACCAAAAAGTCCATACCAAGAAGACAATATCATCTCTTCTAGCACATCTCAGACAGCAATCTTCAACTTCACAAACAGCACATGACATGGACACATCACAAGGACACCATCAGAATTCCTTGTCAACCCCTTTGCAACCACCTGCACTAAGAGCTGCAACTTCTGTAAGGACAGCCGCAGGACACTGGATGAGCCCTAAGAATTATTCATTGCCAACCCCTTTGCAACCACCTGCACTAAGAGCTGCAACTTCTGTAAGTACAGCCACAGGACACTGGATGAGCCCTCAGAATTATTCATTGTCAACCCCTTCGCATCCACCTGCACCAAGAGCTGCAACTTCTGTAAGTACAGCTACAGGACACTGGATGAGTCCACCGAATTATTCATTGCCAACCCCTTCGCATCCACCTGCACCAAGAGCTGAAACTGTAAGTACAGCCACAGGACACTGGA